TAATATTATTTATAAAAAGTTTATATTACATTAATCTTGAAATAAATTTAATAACTCTCAAACTCATTTTAATATAAATATTAAATGAATATTTCTATGATTTATGCGTTTATATACAAATATTTCTATGTTTTTTTTTTTTAGTTTAATGCATGTCTAAAAAATTAATTATAATATTTTTTATAGAGAAAATATAATTAATTTTCACTTGAATTTTTTTAATTTGTCCTTATCCATGCTATTTAAAAATAACATCGCCGTCACCATGAAGTACATCGGGGTCTACCTGAGTGGTACTTTTTTTAATATATAAAGGTCACTCATGAGTAGGTATAATATTTTTTTCCATATAAATTAGATAATTAGAATTTTTTTATATTAGATTGTTAGGGTAAAAAACAAATATTAAAGTGTTTTATATTTGGATGAATTTTAAAACATTTAGTTTTATGCTGAGATTATTAATGCAACTCTTAAATATTATATATTATTCTAATCTCATAGCAAATTTAAAAATTTATGTTGGATATATTGCACTAATCTATAGCAAATCTATATGATTTTTTTATTATTATATGTCTATATTAATCATATAAGTAGAGGGTAGAAGAATAGATGTGGCTAAAAGGGCTAGCATAATTTGCATGATCTTGGGTAGTGCTCTTCTAGTCGCCTCCTAATGGACAAATCAGAATCATTTTTAGACTCATATAATCAAGAGGAGTACTCTGAATTTATTCTAGGATCACAATGACCCGGTCGATTTGAGCACAATTTATTTGAAGAAATTTGAAGATTAAAATATCTTGAAACTATTATGACTTTTGCGAGATCTAAAATATAGAGTCATTCACAACATGAGAATGATATCTAGAAGAAGAATGTTTTGTCATAAAAATGGCAGGGTTTCGTTGCCACGTTCCATCACCTCTAAATTTGATTAATATATCTTTTTGAAATTATTATGGCATGAACAGAATGTTTAATAAGTTGTTTGTGATTTTGTTGATTAGAGCTCGTTCATAATCATTAGATTTGTTAACCTAACAAATCTTAATAGCTTTATAAATATTATGTTTTTAAATGAACAAGTTTGAAGAGCAGCTTGTTGATTAATTTATTCATGATCATCAACAATATTGTTTAAGGCTTGTGAGTAAGGTAATTATAAGAAGCTCAACTAAGACTTGATATAATACTTTATATACAATTCAAATAAGGCTCATTAGAACGTATCATAATGAGCATAAATTAATATCTTAATTAATATATATATAGATAATTATCCTAATAACTTATTAACTAATAGTTTATAAAGCTAATAAAAATTAATATAACTATGATTGGTATATTTTTTTCAATAAAATAAATGGCATACACACACAAAAACAAAAAAATTCAAAAGATCTTACCTTAAGTTAAGCTTTATTTTTAATAGGTGAGAGTGGATTGACAGATTTTAAGAAGAAAGCAAAAATAGAAGACGAAAAATGTGAAATCAAGTTAAGAAAGGGATGATTGAAGAGAATGCCACTGTTAAGTTTGGATGCTTCCAGCCTAGTATTGTGGATGAATCATCTCTTCTACATTTTATCATCCACTCTCATTATATATAGCCTCCCTTCATCTATCATAGCTTGGTCATCATCGCCCCAAATGGCATAGCTTCCTCCTATGTCTCCAAAGATGATTTTCCTCAAGACTCACACCAATTAATTTGATTTTTTAAGCTATTTAGTCCCACATCATTTAGATATTTAACATAGTATAATTTTGATCGTAGCTATTATCGAGTTTAGTTGTATGAATTATAACCCATACAAGAGCATGTGGATGAGTTTTTCTAGACAAGAGCTTAAGGGCTTAAGGCTTATTTTAAAAGCTTGTTAAATTGAAATATTAATTTTTTCAGATCAATAAGTTTAGCTTGATAAGGCTCATTTTTGTTTTTGAATGAGTTATGCTTTCAAAGTCAATAATTATAAAATGAATCAAGCTAGAGCAAAGCTCAAATTAATCATGCTCAATCAAGCATGAACATATCACAAAAGCTTGAATCATGCTCAAACTACCTTTTAGCAATTGAGCTTGAGCTTAAATAGCCTCTAGCTCAGCTTAGCTTTGTTCATTTTTGGCCTAATTATTACGTCATAGGTATCCAATTCATGACCCATTTTATATTATCACATGAATAAATTTATATTAGGGCTGTCAATATTTGACCCGACCCGAAAATTTCGAGCTTGGGTTAGGAATTTCAACCCGTTTGTAAAAATGGGTCGGGTTCGGGTTGACCCAGAAACCCGAAATCAACCCGGTTTTAATTAATTTAGGAGGATTTTAAAGGATTTTTATGAAATAAGTAAATTATATTTCAAACAAATTATAAACATTGTTGCCCAAATTAAATTAATATTGATTTATTTTAAATTAATTGAAGTAAATCTTACCTTAATTTGATTTAGATTTAAATAAATTAAATAAAAAAATTTTAATGAAATATACCTGAAACGGGTCGGGTTCGGGTTCGGAAAACTGACCCGTTTGTAAAAACGGGTCGGGTTGAACAGTGTTGGATCAATTTCGGATTGGACCCGAACCTGACCCGTGACCCATTTTTTACAGCTCTAATTTATATGAATTGTCCTCACATAACATTATTTTAGGAGATAGTAAAACATAACTTATACTCAATGTTTTGTTCTATAATTCCTAAGTCGAATTTGTAATTCAGGACTCCAATACTCTCCTCTTGTCATGAAACAAGAGTTCCAAGATAGTTTCTTATGTTTGTTGATTGAAGACTTCACTTTTGAGGCCACTACTGCACTATCATAAGACCATAGCTGCCAAGCGCTGATCAACTATTTGACATGGTCATGGTCCATATAAGTAGATAAAGTTACCTTGAGGTAGGTCATCGAGCCACTTTCTATTAGCAGGGAGCATGATATAATAGATCAATTATTGAAAAAAATATATTAAGCAATAAGAGTCAAACATGCTAAATATACAATTCCATCTGCAATAGTAACAACAATAGTTTATTGCACTTATCTATGACATTCAAATATCTCCAAACCAATTCAATGTTTGATAGTTTCTATGAATGAAAAGCCAATTGAGACAGCTAGAACCATTGCTTTAAAAATCAGACTGGATCGTCCGGTCCGATCGGTTCAACCGTGAACCTGTCTGAAGGTCGGTTTGGTTCAACCTAAGAACCGGCTTAGCATCAAACCGGCCGGTTTTGTCAAGAACCGCCGGTTCAACCGGTGAACCGGTCACGGTTCTCTTGAACCGGCCAATTCAACTTTTGTATTTTTTAATAATTAAATTTTAAATAACTTATTTTTAAATATTAAAAAATATTTATAATTTAATTTCAAATTTGAAATGCTTAATTTTAAATTAAAAAATTTTAAACAAGCATTTCATGAAGTTTCATCTTTTTACATGATGTACTACTTTTTTTCAAGCTCAAAAGACTGTAATTGGCGATGGTGGTTGGAAGTAGTTGGCGGGCGACGGAGATTAGAAGGGTCTTAGTTAGGCTACAATGGTCGGAAGATCGTAGTCGGTGGGAAACGGAGGTCAGAAGGGCCGTAGTTAGGCGACGATGGTCAGAAGGACTGTAGTCGGTGGGTGACAAAGGTTAGGAGGACGATATGCGATCAAGAAGAACTCTGGTGGTGGTCGACGAACGTGCAGAAGTTTGTCAGTGATTGGCGAACTGGAGGAAGTTCGGTTGTGGTCAACAGACGGACGGAAGTCCAATGGTGGTCAGCAGACAAGTAGAAGTCAGACGGTGGTCTGGATAAACTTTGGCAGCCGTTGGCGGACGGGTGAAAGTCCGGCGGTGGTTGGCGAAATGGCGGAAGTTCGGAGGTGATCGGCGGATTGGAGGAAGTCCGTCGGTGGTCTGGAAGAACTTTAGTTATGGTCAGCGGACAGACGAAAGTCTGACGGTGGTCGAGAAGAACTCTGACTGTGGTATGGTTGATGGACAAGAGGAAGTCTGACTATGGTTGGGAAGAATTCCAGCGGTGGTTGGTGGACGAGTTGAATTCCAGCGATGGTCGGCATACCGGCGGTGGTCGGCGGAGCGGCGGTAGTTCGGCGGAGGTCGGTGGAGAGGCAAAAGTTTGGCGGAGGTCGGTGGACTCGCGGAAGTCTATCGGCGGACCAGTGGAAATTCGGCGGTGGTCAGAGGACTGGCGGAAGTCCGTTGGTGGAATAGCAAAAGTTCAGTGGTGGTCGGCATACTAGCAGAATTCCTTCGGTGGTTATGAAGAATTTCGGCATTGATCGGCAAACCGGCGTAAGTCTTGCGGTGGTCGGGAAGAACTACTCCAGCAGTGGTTGGCAGCAAGCATGCTCCCAAATTCTTCCATTCTCCTCCTACCTTTATGTGAAGAATGGGGGTCTATTTATAATTTTTTGAGAGTAGGATGGCTTGTAAATTTGGAGATGATCAAGATCAAAATGGGAGTGGTTTGAATGGACGGCCGATATTGATCCCTTTGATCATGGATCATTTAATAGTCATTTGAATGCCTTAATGATATTGGAATTCAGTGATCTTGGGGTTGTTGGATTTGTTTCGTCGAGCTGCTTGATTTGGCTATAAGCATGTTGCGTTTAGAATTCAAATGGTAATCCAAATTAAAGTTTGAAGCTTCCAAAAGTGCTTTGAACCCTTGATTTAGACTCATTTGGGCTCAGATTTTACTGATTTTCATGTCGTTGGGTTCGTCTTTTTGAGACGTTCAATTTGACTATAAATTGGTTGAAATCAGAGTTTAGATGGTCCTCGATTTATTTTTGGATGCTTTCAACTAAATTTTGATTTAAGATTCGTACTGGATTTTAATGACGTGTATGTATATATTTCATGTATGGCTGGGTCTTTTATTTTTTTTCTTTTGAAGTGGCATTCAACGTAATTAAACTTATCAATGCCGGCCCACTAGCTTATAAGCACGAGCGCATCTGCGCAAGAATGATGCCTCCATGTGCCTTTCACGCTCCACACACGAACTTGTCTTCTTCCTCTCCGATCACTAATCCCAGCCTCCATCTCTGTTCTCTTTCCACCTCTCGGCTCAAAGAGAGAGGAACAATTTCTCATCGGCTGGGAGGCCATGGCTTCTACTATCCCCTCTGCATCAACAATCTTCCAATACCAAAGCCGCGCTGGAAACCCCTTTTCCTCCCGCCGCAGAGACCTCGTTCTGGTATTTGCTCCCATCCCCACCAACTGCCTCTCTGAAACATCGATAATAAGCCCATCTATTGCACAGTGCAAACGCAGCGCGATGATAAACTTTGTGGTGAGGGAAGGCGGTGGCGCGGACTCGTTAGTGGAGGCGGAGGAGGATCAGTTTGAGGACGTTGTTATGCCGACAGCGATCAAAAGCTCTTCTGCTACGCAGCGGTCGGAGAGAAAGAAGGCCGAACGGAGGGCGTATTTGGTTGCGGCGATGATGTCCAGCTTCGGATTCACGTCTATGGCTGCCGCAGCTGTGTATTATAGATTTGCCTGGCAAATGGAGGTATATTTCCGCCCCCGTAATCTTTGATCAATCGATTCCTTTGTTTTTTTTTTGGTCTCGAATCTTACGATCGCCATGTAATCCTTTAGTTTCTGTTTTCCTAAAATCCTTTCTTATGACTTAGGAGAAAGTTTAATCATTCTCATAATATAAGTTCTGGAATTCATTTCTTAGTTGATCCAAATAAAACAAGATAGTATCATGCATTTTTGTTTATGAAGAAATTTTATGAATTTTACATTAATATTTTGTTGAATACACAGTATTTCTCTACAATAACTTTTTTTCTTAAATTCAATAAGAAAATACAATATTTTAACAAAATTTACGCAAAAATTCATATCACATCATTATCTGATTGCGTGGAAAAATTAAATTATTCTCAAACAAAAATATATCTCATAAACTGATACAAATTGAAATGTTGGTTCAACTATTTTTAGGCTAAAGCCTGAATAATATTGTAGGTTTCGTATGGTTCCCGCAATAGCATAAAATGATGAGATTTCAAATCCTCAAAATAACTTGCAGGGAAGCGAGGTTCCATTGACAGAAATGATGGGGACATTTTCTCTTGCTGTTGGGGCTGCCGTAAGTTCAATTTTTGTACATCCTCCACCTTTTCAATAAAGTATTGTTGATATCCAAATAATAATAATAACAAATAAATAAATAAAATAAGAAATATTATCCTTTGATTAAATACATCAATTAATTTTGAAATAATATTATACGAGTTCTTATTAAGAGTTTAGATAATAATACGGTGAAATCATTTTGTGCGGATTCCGAACATCATCTAGAGACCAACTAAAATGTGTAATGTCACCCCCTACTCGGTACCCAACTCAGTACTGTAGCTTGGTATCGCTCGGTACACAGCTCAATACCGCTGACGTGATGCATTTTAATTGATCTCCGAACGATAAATTGCGTTCCCATAGAATAAATTCCGTATAAACCACTATAATTAAGTAATTTATTACATAATTATTCTAAAAATATGAAATATTAAATATAGTTAGTGGAAGAGAAATAGTACTGAGCAGGATATACCGATATATTAATAAAATTATAGGTTAAATTTAATACATATTTAATATTACTAAATTAATATATCATATAAAGTTGAAGATAATTTACATATATTCAAAATGGTCAAACTAGGCCAGCCTTTGACCGCATAATATATTAGTTTTAAATAAAAATGTACTTCGATTCCCATCACTCTCAAAAAATAAAAAATAAAAAATTAAAAATACACAACTCTCCTTGGCCTATTGGTTGAGAGCTTAGGCTTCCAACTAAGAGGTCCAGAATTTGAGTCTATGTGTATGCGTTGTGTGTGTGAATTTATCTTAAATGACCTAAATGTCCCAAATATATATATATAAATACAAATCACGTTATTCCTTTTTTTTTCTTATATTTATTTAGGTGGGTATGGAGTATTGGGCCCGATGGGCACACCGAGCAGTATGGCACGCTTCGCTTTGGCACATGCATGAGTCGCACCACAGGCCGAGGGATGGCCCCTTCGAGCTCAATGACGTCTTTGCGATCATCAATGCGGTCCCTGCAATTGCGCTCCTCGCATTCGGCTTCTTCCATCGCGGGTTTTTTCCCGGCCTTTGCTTCGGCGCCGTAAGCTTCCCCCTAATGTCCCTTACATTTCTCCTCTTTTCCCCATCGATGACCCAAAAACATTATATATATTCAATTTTTATTTTGCAAGCAAATACGTATGCTATTTTCTTAAATTTTTTTAACATCAAATTTATTCTATAAATTAAGATTAGGTGGTGGATAAAATGAAAAAAAATAAAATAAAATAACAATGTATAAGTCCTCTTTTGAGGCTCCTTAATTAATTTCGCCTTTTCAGTTTTGAAACTTTAGAAAATTTTTTTTACAATTATTTGTATGTTACTTTTGTAGAAATGTTTTTTACTGTTTTCAAAAGCTTTATGATATTAACTTTTCCGTCGGGAAATTTCATTCTCTCAAACAACATTTTTAAAACTACCTTTTAGGAAAGGTACATAATAACCAAACGACGCAAAATAACACGATGAATTGACATGGAATAACTAATAGGGACTGGGAATTACTCTATTCGGGATGGCTTATATGTTTGTCCATGACGGGCTTGTCCACCGGAGATTCCCAGTGGGTCCCATTGCCAACGTACCCTATTTCCAACGGGTAGCAGCTGCTCATCAGGTACCGCTCATCTCTCTTTCCCAACAATTTCATTTTAGAAAACTATGACTTTCTTTGGGATGACTTTTTTGATGGTTCTTAAAGTAATATTTTAGTAAAAAATTAATTTTTTTTACTAGAAAGTTGCTTCAAGAAATAGCGAGAAAGTCGTCCCAAACGAAGCCTAAGTCTTCCTTTGGGACGGCTTTTTGTTTATTTTTTAAAGCATATTTTTAATACAATGTTTTAATAAGCAATAAAAAAGTAGTCCCAAACAAAAACTAAGATTTCATTTGGGATACTTTCTTATTGATTTTTAAAGCAGCTTTTTAATATTTTTTTAAAAATTTTTATACTAAAAAATTACATCAGTAATAAAGTAATAAAGCCGTCTCAAACGAAAAATATTTGATCTAACAAGGCATGTTTGAAAGCAAAAATAAGTTCAAAATATATTGCTTTCACATTAAGAAAAAAGAAATCTTTAAAATTAAGCCAGATATGTTCTCAGCTTTAGCTAACAAATGGCACAGATGCATCATGCGGATAAGTTTAATGGCGTCCCATACGGGCTCTTTCTGGGGCATAAGGTCAGTGGAGCTTTAATTAATTGCTTTAATTGTTCTTTTTTATGTATTGTGTTAATTTATGTGAACACAGGAATTGGAGGAGGTTGGAGGGAAGAAGGAATTGGAGAAGGAGATTAAGAGAAGGATGAAGGTTTTTTAATAGCAGCTCCAATGCTAGCTAGCTGAACTTCTGGTTTTATTGTTTTGATTTTCATATTTTCTTAGATTTTATTTGGGACGGTTTTCTTCTGGCTTCTTAAAGTCATTTTTTAGTATAAAAATTGAAATTTTTATATTAAAACACAGCTTTAAGAAGCAGTGAAAAAATAATCCCAAATGAAGCCTTTGAAATATTATATATTGGCTTTTCCCTGGTAAAGTTTTCAAGAATAAATAAAGGTTTGCTGCTTCAATGATTTGATAACTTTGTGCATTTATTCAATTTTTATATTATTATTCAATGCTAAGACGTTAAACTAAATATTTCTCTACCGCCGTGAATACTCCAGGACGCAACAATTATTATTATTATTATCATGTAGTCGTAGTAGCAAACTAGTTGTAAATCATATAACAATTGACAACTTGAACTTTCCATCTAACAATAATAACTAACAGGCACACCAAACTCGGTAACAATCTAAACGCAATTAACAAGTAGATTATACAATATTCATGTAATATCATATAAAATAATCAAATATCTCAAGCAAATTATCAAAAAAATAAAAAAAAAAATACTTTACATAAAACATATTGTATTATCATTCTCTTTTTCATCGTTTTATCATTGTACTCTTCTTTCTTGATGTTATATGTGAAATTTGATTGTGTTGATCAATCTGATTATTCTTTTGTCTTGGACCTCAAAGTATGTCGTGTATGATTGGAGGGGGGTTTACCCCCAACTTGGGTTCGAGTGCTTTGTACTTGAAATTTTTTTTTTTCTGTATAACACCCTAATGTTGTGTACCCGAGAGAACTGGTCGGGACTATGTTCTCAAGCACCCCATAGCTAAACGACAGAGAGCAGAGTGTTGTAACGGTATATATACGGCACTGCAGTGATGCAAGACAAAGGCTTGAGCGTTGCGGTGTTGCGAGACGGATTGGATGCTTTTTTTCACGATTTTTTTTATGAAGAATTGTGTCACTTGGGGTTATTTTACTTGGCTTTCTTTTGTATTTTGTATGTGTAGACATTAAAAATTGTGCTTGTGAGAAGAGAAGCAAGAAGAGAATGAGCGAGAAGAGACATCTGTACTTATTTCTCCTAATTTTCATAGTAGATTTCTTGGTATGGAGTGGCTCTGTGGTTTTTTTTCCTATTTTGAGTTTTTTCATATTAAATCCTGATGTCATTTACTTTTCTGATGCTTTTACTTTCTTGATTGTTTCGTCATTGTGGTGTTTACTCCTCATCCTCCCTCAACACTTGATCACTTTGGGTCGTTAATTCTAAACCCTAAAATTTGGGTTTAGAGTATTATTCGTTATGAAGTGTTATCTAGAAAGGCAGAAGAGCTCATCCGAAAATTTTAGGAGTATCTTAAAAATTATCAATTTATGCCCTCACTAATTTTAGGTCCTCCCCTATTGATAATCTTTTGGGATGAGGATTTTTTTCTGATGAGCAAAAATTTGACATAAATCCATTAATATAAGGTGAAGTTCTGATGAATTTTAATGATTTTTAAATGAATTTTTAGCTAAAAAATCACATTTTTATAGCAATGATATCACAACATGCAATTCAATGACGCATTATATGCTTAGTGCAAGCTAAGCAATAGTAGATAACATCATCACCCAATATTATGGCATCGCCATTCAAGATATATATTACGGTATGATCAGTACAATTTGACATAATTAGATATAATAATGTTTAAATGTGCGTAAATATAATATGTGGGAGTTTATTTTACTGTTTTATAAAGTTGTTATAGAGAAAATAAAAATTTAAAATTGTTATAGAAATCAATTTTCTAGTTAAAAAACCCACATAGTGATTAATGATATGTTTGGAACAATTTTTTTGTGTATTTTATTTTTTTAAGTCACAATCATAAATTTGTTTGACTACTATATATTTATTTTAGTCAATTTTCTCGTTACTTTTAAAAAACTTTTATGGTAGAACGTTGTTTTCTGCAACCATAAAAACAATGTTATTTTCTCCATACCAACTTCACAATTAACTTTATATAATATTACATCCATCCCAAATAGACCCTAAGGCTTTTGATGTTGTTACTGTCGCTTTAGTGAAAACAGTGACTAAATAAAAATTATGATTATGATTTGAAAAATTAAGCAGTAAAAAAGATGTCCCAAATGAAACCTCCATGGAATAATGCATGGAACATTAATTAATAAAATACCGACGCATAAGCATCTTCTTCATTATATTCCAGCAAAGTTAGTTTTTTTTTTTTTTTTTCATTTAGAGTTTTTTTGTAAAGAAATAAAAAAAATAATTTACAGCAATGGTTGTTTTTCTTATAAACCTTTCTTATTAATCTTGTCTCGCCCTGGAATATTCGCGGTGGTAGAGAAATATCAATTTTAACATCTTAGCGTTGTGCAAAGATCTAGCACACAAACAGATAAAAGATAGGATGTATCATTCATAAGAGAAAAAGATTTTTTATATGAAAACCCCTGAAAAAGAAAAATTCACGGGGTCTGCCCCAATTTGAATGAATTCACCAGTATTTGCAGTCGATTTCAAATGAGACTCTTTCTTGGGGTAAGGTGTTGGGTTGATGTAATAAATAAACATCATATAGAGTGCATTACATGTTGGGAGTCTGACGTCGTGCAGAAATCAATTCTTGATTTAATTTTTGAAGGTTCCAACTTGATTTTTGTCTCGTGATTTATGCCCGATCAAGATAATTTTCTAATGATATATCAAATCTAATTCAAATTGTATTCAAATGTCAACTTCTAAAAAGTGGGAGTGGTCATACCACTAAAATATTTTGTCTGAGATTTCGTTTGGGACGATTTTTTATTGCTTTTTAAAACAGAGTTTTAGTAAATTTTTTTTTTATTTTTTAATTAAAACTCCATTTTAGAAAGCAATGAAAAAGCGTCCCAAACGAAACCTAATTTATATATTTATTTCGAAAGCAACATTGAAGAACTGAACTTTTTTGACCCGCAAATTAACACAACTTCACACGTCTTTAATCCCATAGTTTTTTCCATTTGTCGCTTTCATTGCCAGCAAATGTTCTCTTAGAAATTAATATGATTTTAAACGATATAATTTATATGATTTAATTTTCATCAAAGAATAAAATAAAAATAAAAATCATTAATCCTAATTCCATAGCAATTCTGATAATTTTTAATTTCATCCAAATAAAATATGTATTTGAATATCTTGTAATTTTTTTTCCTTTACAGAATCATAGTGACGAAGTAATTATATAAAAAAGATTACGTCAGTATGAGCATGAGTATTTTAGAATTTACTTTATGATTAATATTTATTATGATATCATAAATTGCTAATTTTATCCTAATATAAACTATATCAACAAGTTTTGAAATATTTTTTCATGTATAAATATTTTTTATTTTTTTAATTTTTTTTTAAATTTTTTTAGTGATTATTTTGTTTGAAGTAAATGACTTATAAAGTATTGTACATACATGAGTTCTGAAAATATTAGTATTTAATATAAAGTAAAAGAAATGCATAGTAAACTTTTGATGTATATGAAGTGTGCAATAAATTGTATTTGAAAATTATTACATTTGAACAATTTTCAAATTCATTTATAATTTTCAATTTCACTATAAATTCTTTGTCGTTATTATTGTTCGCTAGCCACAGCCGTACTTCACCCGCCATCGATAGCTATTGTCATTGGCCATCACAAAATATTGTTGTTAATGTCACTGCCGCCTACTACCAATGGCTCAATTAATGTTCATAATAATTATGTCCCTCCCTCCTTTAGGTGCTTGGAATGTGCGGGGGTTTAATAACCCAGGTAAAGTTAAGATGTGCAAAGACCTTATTTCGAAGTTTAATCTGAAGCTTATTTGTATTTTAGAAGCTAAAATACAGCCTGATGCTCTACATAATGATTGGTTCAATTACACTCATTCTTTATTTGAGAATGAGAGCAGCTGTCATAACTTCACTTCTTCTTCTCCCGGCCGTATCTGGGTAAAATGGGATTCCTCCTCTCTGTTTTTCAATCCCATTTTCACCTCCTCTCAGGTTATCCATGGTTTGGTTAATTCGGGATGCTTGCCCCCTTTTTACCTCACGGTTATTTATGCTTCTAACTCTGTTGATGAAAGGAAGGACTTATGGGATTCTCTGTTGAACATTGCGGCTTCCATGGATGCCCCTTGGCTCTTAATGGGTGATCTTAACTGTCATAGATTTGATGAGGAAAAGGCGGGTATAATGAACGATTTGATTTTTGGCAAGAGCAATGATTGAATCGCAATCATATCATAAGGTGTGGGATGAGGAAGTTCAACACCAAATTCTAACAAAAACTTTCTGATCCGAATATTTTCTATTGCAATAGTTCTAACTCAGTTGAAGATCGTGCCACAGTTGTCTACTTTTTGGTACCCATAAAATAAGAGTTAAAATGAAAAAGACAGTATCTAGTGATCGACTTGCGATCATGCTAATCACCAGCCCAATCAACATCAACAAAAACGTGAAATATAATTTTGTAGATGTAATATATAAATCAAGTTAAGCATATTGAATTGATGATTTTGAGGGGAGTGTATGTTGTCCTCAAAGGATAAATCAGATCATGTTATGAAAAGATATTGAAGTACACCCATCTAGTGACAATATAGAGATGGATTGTGGAAAGGAAGAACTTTCACAAGTAGAGTTTCCTTTTTAATAGAGCTTGGATTAGTATGGATTTGCATTAACCAATGCCTGCCCACTGTAATAATGCAGTAGCATAATTGGTTTCATGAACATGAAGCTAGTCGTTGGAGCACCTGTAGACCAAGAAATGTGTACAGTTCTTCTATATGTTTCAGCTGAAATTTAAAATGAAGTTCTGCTGAAAAGTAGTGGACTATTTTGAATAATAATTCTCTTTCGAAAGTTAGAGCTGGTCGTTATTTGATGAAACTATGTGTTGCCTTCTTTATTGACAGAGCAGAAGATCTCCCAGTTTGGTTAGCTGCTACGGTTTTATTTGAGATGATTTTCTTACTGCTTCTTCAAGTAACTTTTTATACAAAAAATTTATTTTTTATACTAAAAAGTTATTTTATGAAACAATAAAAAAGCTGTCTCAAACGAGCCTACATCTTTTTCTAAAATAGATTTCGTTTTGTTATAGTGGAGAAATCCAATGAACTTTATATGAGAACTTTTTAAATGTTAGTTTGATCTATATGTTTTTGGCTTAATGA